GTTGAGTGGGCATCACTGGTTAACTAAAACTTAAATTAATATTTTTTATTATTTATAATGTTTTGTAAACATTTATGTTTTAAATTAACTGAATAAACTTTTTTATTAATTGTAATATTCCACTAATAACTATTAAATCATTTTTGCCATGTAATATAGTGTAAATGATTTACAATTATATTTAAACATTTCTTTTGTAAATATTATATTATTAACTTTATGCTTATTAATTTAACAGTTTTTAATTTTGTTGATTATTTTAAAATGATTTAGTTGTGATATCTTTAGATTTATATTATTAAATAGTGTGATTTCCCCCCACAAAAAGGGAAGAAATGTCACATTTTTGGTTTTGCTTTCATCAAAAACAAAAAAGCTAGTTTTAATTTCTTCACATTTCAATAACGACATAAAAGACGCACCACAGACTTCTGCATGAGATTTTATTACAAGGCAGGTTTCAACATTACTGCACCTCAGAGGCAAACTTCGAAAAAAGGAACATCACAAAAATGGAATGAGAATCCACAGTGAAAAAAAATCTCCCTTTTATACCAGAACATCACCTTGCATAACATAAACATTATGTGCTACATTTATTTCATCTCAATGTTCTGGCAGACACCAAGTGTTTTAGTGTTTGTGCAAATGGAGTCATGACAATGTTTACAGTCAAGCGAGTGTGTTGACCATTTTCATGAGCACATATAGTGTGTGAAGTCTTGGCAAGAAAAACCCACCACATATCATGCATAGTTGGACAGCACTTCATATCAATTTTACATTAGATGTCAATAACAACAGCATTTTTTGTACAACACAAACGTTTGCTGATAAGTGGACATCTTCAATAGTGACTAGTGCTTTGGTGCAGACACTGCAAATATTGTGGTCCTGTAAATATTGTTTTGCGTACATTCGATTCATTTTTGTGAAATGTTAGTGTCGCCTAGTGTGTATTTAATACATTAATGTACACTAGTAGTCTCAAAAAATCTGCGATAAGTCAATTTTCTTCAAGTTTGAAAAATGAAACCTATTCAGCTCACCGTGGCTAAATTTCTTATAATAAAACGACAGTAAAACATTGGGAAATATTATAACAATACTTTGTCATTTATTCCTGTGATTCAAAACTGAATTTACCTCAGTCTTCAGCATCACATGATTCTTCAGTAATTATTTAATTATGTCGATCTGCTGTTCTACTATGATCAATTATTATTGGTACTCAGTCGTTAATAATGATTATTATACAGTAATTATCAATGTTGAATTTTTCATCTGCTTCATAGTTTTGTGAAGACTGTGATTCATTTGACTTTTTAGGACTGTATGATATTGAAAAAAAAAGTGATATGCTTTAGGATGTTAAATGTATAGCAATATTCGATACGCGATATGATATTTTTAGCCATCAGCTAGCTCTCTGCAACTCTCACATGGTCGCCCACGGAAGCTAAGCAGGGCTGTGCCCGGTCAGTACCTGGATGGGAGAATATATATGAAAGCTAGGTTGCTGCTGGAGGTGGTGTTAGTGAGACCAGCAGGGGGCGCTCAACCTGCTGTCTGTGTAGGTCTTAGCGCCCCAGTATAGTGAAAAGGAGTCTAAACTGCTCAGTGAGCGCCGTCTTTCAAATGAGACGTTGAACTGCGGTCCTGACTCTCTGTGGTCAATAAAAAGCCCAGGATGTCCTTCGAAAAGGAGTATGGGTTTAACTCCGGCATCCTGACCAAATTTGCCCACTGTCCTGTCCATTATGGCCTCCTAACATACACATATGATAACAACACACTGTCTTCATCACATTCTCTCCTCTCCACCAATCAGCTGGTGTGCGGTCTGGTGCAATATGGCTGCTTTGGTGCAATATGGGAGTCCACCCAAAAATATGTAAAGCTCTTTGAGTGTCCAGAAAAGTGCAACATGAATGTAAGAAATTATTATTATTATTATTATTACTTTAAAGAATGTTATAACCAACATACGTTTCATAATATTTGAAGAAAAAGAAAGCATAACTACAATCTTCTAGAAGATGAAACAGATCAGGCATTGTAACTATGTATACCAACATAAATAAATAAATAAAAATCTCTTAATTCTTTGCAGACTTATTGTTTTCTTAACATCGCTTGATCATATTTCAGCATCCATTTTAAAACTGTTACAGATTTTTAAAAAAAGAAAAAAAATTTAGCGAATTTAAAAATCGCAAACCACAGCGACATGAACATTTGTTATATTTCGATCATTTCGCAGCCCAAACTTTTAGGATACCAATGGCACTCAGAGATACTCTCAAGTTAAATCACGTTAAAATGATTTGCGATAAATTTGAGATTTAACGCAAGAGTTTTGCGATAATTGTGATAAGCACATTTAAAACATTTTGATATATTGTTCAACCATATTTTTTAGGATATCAATGACAATGACACAAAGAAACTCTTGTATTAAAAAACAAATTCAGCGGAAATCATTGCGATATGAATATCGTAATAAGTACATTTGCGATATTTCGAAATATTGCTCAGCCATACTTTTTAGACGAAAGATACTCATTGAATCACCATTTTTCGCAAAGCATTGCGGTAGTTATATCGTGATAAGTACATTTGCGATATTTTAATAATTTTGATACATTGTGCAATTTAGGATATCAAATGACACACAAGGATACTCACATTTGCGATTATTTCGATATATTGTTCAGCTATACTTTTTAATATATAACAAAGACACACAAAGATATTCATGTATTAAATCACAAATTTATCGCAAACCATTGCAAAATGTATATCGTAATAGGCACATTTGCATTATTTCAATAATTTTGATATATTGCACAGCCCTACTTTTTAGGATATCAATGGCATAGGATACTCCTGTATTAAATCACTAATTTATTGTGATATTGCAATCATGTTTATTGTGATATACTGTACATATTTTGATAATTTCAATAAACATGTGGCCCTACTTTTTAAGATATTTTTAATGAAAAGAAAGCTAAAAATAACAGCACTAGTTAATTATTTCATAATCATGTAACATTATAAATATCTTTATTTTCATTCATGAAACAATTCTATTAAAATGTATTGAACAATTTAATTTGTTATATTTTTAATCTTACTTTTGAGTAGTAATGTTAGTTTCCACAAAAAAAAAAGAAGCAGCGCAACAGTTTTCACCACTTGTAATAATAATAATAATAATAATAATTGAGCAGCAGATCATCAAATCAGAAAGATCACGTGACTCTAAAACTGTAGTAAGAGTTCTGAAAATCTAGCTTTTAAATCATAGGAATATATATTATTTTAAACTACATGCAATATATATTTCATTTGTAATAATAGTTCCCAATTTTTTACTGTATTTTTGGCCAAATAAATGCAACATTGGTGAGCAGAATAGCCGTCTTTTAAACAATATAAACTGATCCCAAACCTTTGACCGGGTAGTGTATTTCTTCCTGCTATTGGTGTGCATTTCCACGGTAGTGAATATGCAATGTTCATCGCTTCAATTAGAACAGACAGCGGCAGCTGAATCATGCACAGAACAAATGGGGTCACCAGATGCCAAAACCGTCCACACTGACAGGAAAGCCAGTTCAGAGGTCATTCACAAAATACATCTCGCCGCGTAAGGGTGAGACCAGCGACTTGCAGCTATTTCTGACATGCTGTGGTGTTTTGAGTCCCTGGATACAAGACCAACAGCAAAATTGAATCAGTTCAGACAGGCAGACACGTCAAATATGCAAATATCCACCGCTGCCTATTTTCAGTTTGACAATATAACACCTACAGAAAAGGTAAAAATGTAAACTTGTTATATTCTTGCCCTTGTAGCAAATATCTTGCTTTTTCCTATTTAACTAAGGGCTAACTTTTAAGATGCTTAACATTTATTAAACTAACTTAACACTAAAAGTGCTTATTTATATCATGTTCACTTTAAAAACACTCTTTGAAATAAAATACTCATGTTCAATACAAATAATCCTATAGCTGGATTTTTAACAGCAGTTTTTTTTTGCATAAATGAAACATAAGGAGCTTTTTTTAAAACAAAGTAATGATACTTGCACGTTGTAAGGCAGAATTTGCTTAATGATAAAGTTAATTAAGATTACAATTTATAATGGAAACGTTAATAAGAATGGGATATAAAAAAAGGCATCAGGCAAACATGTACAATTCCATGTTTTATTTTATGTGTAAAAAATTATATATATACACTACCTGACAAAAGTCTTGTCGGCTATCCAAGTTTTAGGAACAACAAATAATAACTTGACTTCTAGTTGATCATTTGGTATGAATCGTGGCTTATATGAAAGGCAAAGGCCTCTAGATTACGCTTATTTTACCAAAATAAAATGTGATCATGCCTTGATTTTTAATTGTTTAATTGGGACAGTAAGGTCTGACTTTGCTTAGACAAAAGTCTTGTCACTTAAAAGAAATAATGTACAGTTTTGAATATAAAGTCATGGTGCAGTGGACAAAAAAAATTAATATTGCGTATGGACTGTATCCATAAATCTCTGCAATAACTTAATATCTTATAATAAAGTCATCTGGAATGGCAAAGAAAGCATTCTTGCAGGACTCCTAGAGTTCATCAAGATTCTTTGAATTCTTGATTCTCTTGGATTCTTTGCCTCCTCCATCTTACCCATGGAATGCTCAATAATGTTCATATCTGGTGACTAGGCTGGCCAATCTTGGAGCACTTTGACCTTCTTTGCAGTGGTTTGTAATGTAAGGGGCAGAACAAATGTCTTGATACCTCAAGCTGTTGATCTTGCCATCTACTCTGCAGATTTCTCACACATCCCCATACTGAATGTAACCCCAAACCATGATTTTTCCTTCACCAAACTTGACTGATTTGTGTGAGAATCTTGAGTCCATGCGGGTTCCAATACTATGCAGTTCAGCAGATGATTTATCTGAAAAATCTACCTTCTGCCACTTTTCTAAATGAGTCAAGTTATTATTTGGTGCTCTTACAGCTGGGATGGATGACAAGACTTTTGTCAGGTGGTGTATATTATATGGAAGTCTTTAATTAGCAATTCATCCCTCTGAAAGGCTAAATACTAATACATAATAAATCATTTAAATAGCCTAACGCATCATTTCCCCCTTGATTGTACAGTAGCTACACTAACACTGATAATAATATTAGCAACTGTGCTCGATCGTAAAACACCACAAGCCCTGATTATTTCTTGATTGTTCCCTATCAGATCTACATTTAAGACTCATCCATTGTACAAAACAGTCATTTTTGTCCTCCTTCACCTACTTTAAATCAAAAGTATTAGCATCAAGATACTAGCCGTATCAACAACCTAATTAATACTACTCAAATGAAGCATGAAAATAGCGAGCGGGTCCCTTCTACCGTAACAGAATTTCCTGTGACTGGAAGCCACTATAAAAAAACAGAACAAGATTTCCCACATTGTAACCACACCTCAGTCGAAGCCAATGTAATCCCACAATCCCTGGCATCCTCCTCCAGACCAGCAGTGTTACAGTCAGTGGTTGTTTATGTGGATGGAACCCGAATGCGAAACTGTCCCTGCTGGAGCTGCAGTCGGAACAGCTTACAGTTGGCGATGCGCAGGGCGGCACAGCTCGTCTTGCTCAGATCTGAGGGCATGAGGGGTCTGGTGGGGTGCCAGGTGCCTGTGCTCCTGCGAAACTCACGGACATAGTCGAAACTGGTGCCTGCAATCAAAACACATGGAAATATGATATGAATGCAGTTCAGTGTATGGTGCAAAACACATTGTTACATTGCGTTGTAAAGCTTTAAAACTGAACACGTAGGCAGCAGTGCAAAAGCTAATTTATTTGAGCTAATCTGTTTTAGTTTTAGACTGTTACAGAAAGATTTACCTGTATTTTTACTCATCATGTTGTAGTATTCCTAGATATTGTGGAAAAAAAGTTGGCATTTTTTAATTCTTTTTTGTTTTGTTTTAAATGTAAAAGGGAATTGAATGAATTTGACTGAATCTAAATGCCTAATCAACAATATCCTAAATTTTAAAAGAGATAAATATTTTCTATATATATTTAATATTCTCAGATTATTTTGATAATAACTGATAAAAAAAACTATTTTTGTTTTAATATATGAACTGACACAATTAATATACTAATCTTTTTACTAATATTTATAGTTTCTTATTTATATTATTTTAAAAAACCTATTAATAAAAAACTTTATTATATAAAATTTATTATAATAAATTTCATATATATTATAATAAAAGTTATTTATTATTTATTTATCCAGCCAGCATAATGCACATACTCTATAA